CAACCTCAATCATTGTTTGACTGTTGATCAACGTCTTTAGTACATCCAGATTTTTGAGCAATAGCTTGAAAAGCTTATATGTGTAGTTGGTCTTCACAGTATACATCTGACTACTATAATTGCATAATATTGCTAACTGAGAACTGTTTTTTTTTAATGCAAAGGATGAAAATAGTCATCTGAAAAACAACTGAAACGTCTATAATATTAGAGTTTGTGATAATACATAAACCAGTTCAACTGATTATTCATAAGTTTATCTTAAGGAGAGTATATCTGTAGTGAGCGTGGACTTGGTGGGGACAATAGTATTAATATCTCGTTTGCAATTACAGTGTCTTTGTAAATTATGAAAACCATACAATAAATACTTCATTTGCACATCTTCCATCAGTTGTCACTTACATTCTTCATGATTCTTCCAATTCTGATTTTATTCCAATTCCTTTCTGTTCCCTATTCGACTTTTTTTCAGTTCAATCTTCTCAATCCCTTTTTATACAGGCATTCCACCTCTGAATGGAGTTACATACCATTTATATCTGACACCATAAGTAGTATACATCACATATTTATGAAATGTATCTGACTAATCGTCAATTAACTGTCAAATAACACACGGAGTCGAAACATCAGTTCATTACTTAATGGCTTTTAATATTAATGTTAACACTATTTCAAACCAAATCTCTTATAATGAAATAGTAATATCAGATTTGGTGTATATTTCCATGAAGAAAATAAATATACATAAGCTGGTAATTGAATACCCAGATTTGTAGTTCTATTGTTATGATTGTATCATATTACTAATAGTGTAATAAAGATACTTTCAAATAGGATTAATGACAAAACATCGGATTTAGGATGTATGTTATTAGTAATACATTACATAGCATCAAATGGTTAACTGATATTAACCACCCCTCTATTTTTTATTTTGTTCATCGGATCTTATAACATGAAGCTATAAAGTCAGTAAAAATGAAATGAAATAATTTAATGTGGGAATCTTTTCTTTCAAAAGTATCATTTTCTGAAGTCATACAATCTTCTTGATGGACACTCAAAAACAGATTAGTCTCTTGAAAACAATATTTAAGGATTTCATTAAATTGTAGCTTGATATATCTAACCATCTTCATTGATAATATCTAGAATATTCTTTGTATTATTTATTGTAAGTTACAGTAATTAACTTCGTGTACAATTACAATATATAAGCTGTGATTTAACTAGATATTTCTAAGTTGATCAAACTGACTCCGCCTAGAGTCCCTCCGTGGGCTACTGCCGTCCTCAAGCCCGGATAAAGGAGGAAGGTTGGGCATGGGGTTATCGGCCCCATCCCGTAGAAAACTAATTCGCTAAAAAACGCTAACCAGAAAAAAAATTATTCAATCTGACATCTTTATCATTCATTGAAGTTAGCTATAACTTATTAGACAACTTTATATAATACTAGAGTCTTTATTAAATCAGGATTGTATCTGGTAAAGGAAAATAGGAAATATAGTATTTTTTCAGTGAGGACTTTTCAACTAGTTGAACATGTATTTTAATGTTGATATTTACAATGGGACTCGAACCCAGTGTCTTTCTCTTCTAACATAAACAAGTATTATTATAAGTATCAACATTGAAATGAAGGTATATTTAATTAATATAGTACACATGCGACGAAAAGCGCTTCCGGTATTTAACTGACACTTACTACGTAACTTTAATTAAACCTTTAGTTAGATGATGATGATGATGTTAAGGCGGTTCACTAAGGATGCACATATGTCAATGGAAACTAATCAATTACGAACCTAAACATACGGAGCAATCCTGTGTTTTGTATTCCCAATCATAAAAATGAACATTGAAATCACAATTGTAAATTCAATTTTTAGTGAAATATTTCAATAATAATTATCATCTCCTTTGTCATTGTAAAATTTTCACATGTAGAACATTGGAGTAACTTGGAAGAATGTCCTTCGATTTATCAAAGAAATCAACAATGAGACTATCATTCAAAAAAGTTTGCTTAAATAGCCCAACATCACAGTCAAATAAACTGTGTGAAGAATCAATTATGGAGTTTCAAAAATATTCTACAACGAATAGTGATAATACTGAGAAGAAACAATTAAACTTACGTCTAAGACGCGGACACACAACTCTACTTAGCCTTATGGGATCAGAACTAAGCGATATATCAAAATCTGATAAAAGTGAAACAGCCGAAGATAGTTATAATGACTTTACAACTATTTCGTTACCTTATGATCAAGCAAATGAATCTACAAATGCATTAATTAATGAATACATCCCAGATGTTTTACCACTAACGACAGCAAATCTTTCAAAGTAAGTTAAATATGTCGGAGATTGTTTTAGCTGTTTTGAGAATATTGTTGATGTATTTGGAAATCATATACTTCATTTTATTGATTATGATTGCTGATCTTCAGTATTAATCCAAAAGAACTACTACTTAAGTAAAATGTAGAATAATGTAAAGGAGTGTATCTCAACTATATAACCATGTTATAATTGACATCATGAACTGATCTTATCAGGTAACCATTGAAAATCAAGAAGCAGTAGACATTTGCCTCACTTTATTACATGTTATAACTTGTAGCCTATGTGCCCTGTTAATGTATAACGTAACTATACCGCCAATTAGAGCCCCACTAAATACTGTTTACTGACAATTATGGATGAGCATGAGAATGAAATATAGGGCATCTTATTGATTGTTTCTTATAAAGCAAACTGTAACCTAGACGTATAATCACAAAATAATCTGTCAGATTGTATAACCATTAAGATCCGCCTTAAAAACAATCGTTTCGGGTTATCGTAAAAAATGTGCTTATTAAGAAATCCGTACAATAACTCAACGGATTAAAGTGGCTTAGATTACAAAAGTATCGCATTCGACCATAGTCATCTAGCTTGAGTTTTTATTTATAAACTCTAGTAAAGAGATCTTAAATCACACAAAAATCTTGTAAAGTCATTTCTGAGATATTAATTAGTGTAGAATTGATTTGTATTTGATCACAGATGTCTTACAAATATTGCTTGCATTTGCTGCGATCACCGGGAAAGTAGTAGTGAGGTTAGACGTAGAGTATTAAAGAATGATGGTAAATCAGTTGAAGAGGTTGTAAGTCTTCATCGACTGAGACGGTTGGAACACGTGTTGCCTATACATAAATACCGATTACCATGACGCACAATTCTGACTTGTATTGAAGACAGTTGGAAGAAACTTAAGGGCTGCCCAATCAAAACGTGGTATCACTGCTTTAAATCACTAACCTCTAGTCTTAGACATGTTGGTAGATGACGAATACTTGGTTAGTGTCCGTGCAACTATCATAACAGAGAGTTGAAGACTGTGTGAAATGGATCAGAATCGGTCACAATGGTGTACGCATATATATATATATATATATACCAGTTACCAGTTAACTCTTTCTTTCTGTTTTATTACATCCTTATATGTAATCTTCCTTTTACTACCGTTGAAGTAACTACCTCTATAAATTTGGTGTTCATCTTGTAGGGCTAATGAAGTATGACAACTTCGACCGATGCATGTATGTGCCTGGTCCTACATTGTAGCCGAATGACTGACTGACTGATTGACTAACTGAGAACTGATTTGTAATATCATAACAAACTTTATTAATCAATATTATCGATTGTTGTATCTTATTTTATTTTAATCAATAAAATCATTATCATTTTATTTTATACTTAAATAATTAATGATAGAATTTCATTTACCATTCTGTTTATTAAGGTATATAGTGAAACAGGAGATTATTTATTGGAATCATGTATTATCCCAACAAATTTCTATGGAATTAATGAATAAATTAAATGATGATAAAAATGTGGTAAGAGTATAATCATTGAAGAAAGTTACTTATTAAGATGGTGGAGAAGATTTGTAGCTCAGGTGGATGATTTTGATGGAGTTTTGTACTCTGAGCTGGATGGTTTGGGAGACACAACCAAAACAAAGAAGTAAACAATGAAAAATTTAAGGTCAGTAAGAAACAATCAACGTCAAGGTGTACAGAACAAGCTGTGAAACACATATGGAGAAATTCGAACACTTCACTTTTATCTGAAGTTTGTGCTGATGATGTCGTTAAGAAGAACGAATAAAGCTCCACGACCAAACCATCCAGCTCAGAGAACAAAACTCCATCAAAAGTTACCTATTGTTTTTTTCATTCATTCATTGTTTTATTGTGATATGATCAATATGTTTGATATGCTTGAATATTATCACGAGTTCACCTTACTCGGTAAACGAAACGAAAGTCAAAGATACATTGACACGATAGACTATAATTATCTGTTTTCCCAGGGTCTGCTAACTAGATCAAGAAGTCTTGATGAGGCGTACAGAATGTATTCTACAAGCACCCAGGAAATACAAGGTCACTAAACGCACGAATCAAGCTTATTTATACAATGGTAGAAACCCCCTTAGGAGAGCGACAAAATAGCGTAATAAAAAAAGTCCGTCAACCAATGACAGTCAATGATTTCCGAGTGGGAAATGTAAGCTATAGTTTAACTAGGCATCTGTCGGTGTGAAAAAAAACATGAAATTCAAATTTCCAGAATAAAATTACAAAATTACGACCTTTACCAAGTGAGTTCTGGGTATTTAGCGTTCCCAACAGTGTTGTATTCGTACTTTTTTATTGTCAACTAATTCATCAACATATGGTAGTTCTTAATAGTTTTTTTTGTTAAGAAAAACAATTGCCAACTAAGTATTGATTATATTTGGTTTCAATATAATCAATTGTATATAAAAAAGTAACTAATACAGATAAATAATATATTTTTAATATCCCAATGAGTTGAAAAATTAGATTTTCTGTCGTTTCGTGACTTAGTGTAAGCCACTTCTTCAGAGAATTAAATAATCAAATTAAAAATAATCCAAGTTCTAACAATCAACCCAATGCTCAATTTATTCGAAATTATCAAACCAAACCTTGGTAATGATACCTAAAAGTAACTAGTACCTTTAACATTCGAAGGTGTTACCTCTTTGATAAATTGAAGAGAATGTTTTCAAAAAAGACATGTTCAATAGTCCTTAATTTTCAATTTTTTTCTTGTTGTTATCAGTCTTTCATGAAATCCAACTTCAATTAGTATTAACAAATCTATTAACTAAGCAATAATCGTATGTAAACTAGTGAATGGTTTCGAGATGAAGACAACTAGTGTAGTCGCAGCAAGCTCTGCATCAGTAGGCCTCAACATACACAAGGAAAAAAACAACATCCTCAAATACAACCCGGAGAACACCAATCCAATCACACTTGATGGAGAAACTCTGGATGATATGGAATCTTTCACACGCCTGGTGATCAGCTGCATCATCGATGAAGAAAGGAAGATAGGAAGCAGATGTAAAGAAGAGGATCGACAAAGGAAGGACCGCTTCCTACAATTGAACAAACAACATATGCAACACAAAACAACTGTCTATCAACCAATATCAAAGTCACATTCTTCTATGAGAACTTCAAGACAGTCGATTCTACTGTATGGAGCTGAAACTTCCACAACTACCACAACCATCATGAAAAAGGTACATTTATTTATCAACGGTTGTCCATGCGAGGTACCAAACAGCAAAATGTCAATCAATCGTCTCAAACTTGACTGTTCCTTCATTTCCACACTAATCATTCGTTGTCCTCGTTCTATTTCTTCTTTGATCTTAACTTTCTGCTTCCAAGTGTTTCACTTTCTATTGATAAATACATACTACTTATTATCGATCAGCATCAGTAGCATATACCACAATCTTAGTTTCAGACTATAATTTGTTTGAGATTAATCCATTAAATTATCTATATCACTAAATGTGTTAAGATTCAATCATTTAACAATGAAATTCTCTCTCTCTCTATTTATAATCATTGCTAAATATGAATTATTTCTTTACAATGATGTTATCACAGGTCATTCAAATATTCTATTTCTATATCTGATTTGTTTTAGGGATAATTTGTTGTATGAACCCAATCAATGTACTGAATGTTATCATTGTCAAACATTCTATGAACCAATCCTCGTGAAGGAGCATAGGCCGCTCACCAGCATTCTCCATCCAACCCTGTCCTGGGCAATCCTTTCCAGCTCCTTCCAGTTCTTATTCATCCTTTTCATATCTACTTCTATTTCCCAATCCATTATATATATATATATATATATATATATATATATATATATATATATATATATATATATATATATATATATATGAATGTAATGATACAAACAATATTGCAAAAGATTTGCCAAGGCAATTCAACTAATTATTATTATTACTATTATTATTATTATTATCATTGCACAAATACATTTGTAAGCATATTATTAATGATAGTAGTAATGGTCTATCTCATTCATGATGTAATAATTCTGTAGTCAGCACGTTACCACAGATTATTGTATAATATGTGAAACTTTAAAGTAACACTAGAAATCTTAATCAAAACAATATGGACTACAATTGTCAAATCAATTGTAATGATATTCATGGAAATAATTGAGATTGAGAAAGATGATTAAATATTGATTCGATGAAATGAAAAAGAAGAAGAAGAAAAAGAAAGCATCAAACTTACATATATCTAACTAATGTCATAATATAGAACCTGACAATCAAATCATACATAATGACTCCGGATCAGAAGGTTGCGTGTTCGAATCACGTCGGGCTCACCAGATAATTGTGGTGGAACATACAATATGCGAACTCAAAAATGATAACAGAGTTATTAAGTACAAATAATAATGTTAATATATATCAATTAAATGTTATAAACACACAAAAAAGAGGGACGTTACTTAATTCAACAGGTTTGCGCGTGTTCTGATTGAGTCTGGTACCAAAAATCTACAATTATAGATGATTGATGGTTCCAGTAAGGTTGATGAACTCCCAGTGTATAACCCAACGTAGGTTATGATATATTCCGATTACAGTCTATAAATGTAGACAGTATTTGATTTAGACTTCAGTTAACACAATCACAAGCGAATGGAGAACGAGAGGTATGTGTGTAACAGTGTATTTGTTAGCAGTTAACAGAGTGTGTCATGCTAGGAATGTAACACAATGGAAGGAAGTGTCCAAGGTCAGACACTTAAACAATACTTACAATCATTTAATGATAAATGTACATGCGGTGAAAAATTGACAAATAACATCAAAAACTATTTACAAAATTAGTTTGTCAGGCATATCTCCACAAGTGTAAACAATAGAAATAAGAACTGAATAGAGATTCCTATGCATAAATAATTAGCATATACATTAATCGTATAGTATATACACTTGATTATTAAGACAATTATGTAAGGAATCAAGTTGATAGATTAGTTTTGTAATTAAATAGTTTATCATTTTATTGTTTAACTAGAACCTGTCTATCTATTCGTATAACTGCTTTCGTTGATATTATAGTGTCGGTCATTATGTTAAGCCCATATACCATATTCTGGCATTTGGACAGGCCAATCTATTCATTCTATTTAATCCACATTCTGACCTTGTTAATTATTCGCTTATCAATCTTCACTGTTTTTATATGAGCGCATATTTGTGTGTACATTTCTTATCCCATTCATCATATGTCTGTAACTTATTTCTGTGTGACTATAAATATTGATTAATCCTTGACTAAATGGGGTTGGATTACCCGTCATCTCCACTGCGCGTCGTTTTGCTTCGCTCTATTCCATTCGCTTTATATACAAAATATATGGGTTCAAAAGTCCATTCTCGTTATTTGATATATTTAATTCCGTTATTGACTAACACCATTGAAGTCAATGATTATATACGAGGATAGGTGACATATACATTTCGATAGCAATCATTCATAAAATCTACTTGGAGTCAGATCTCGGGCCACTAAAATGGTGAACCTTTTCGACAACATCATCCGATGTGAATGAATACAAAATAAAAGGCCCCACTAAAATATTGTTATCTATGTTCATCAGTTTTTAGCTTATTTACTGTTGTCTAGGAATACTTATCTCTGTCACTTTTTTGATAAAGTTTGATATAGTGAGTACTGTGTCAAATGGAAGATCGATGTTCCTTAATGAACATTAACTAAATACATTTGAGATGGCAGAGAAGATTTATAGCTCAGGTGAATGATTTTGATGGAGTTTTGTTCTCTGAGCTGAATGGTGTAGTCGTGAAGAACAATGAAAGCTACACAACTAAACCATCCAGCTCAGAGAAAAAGACTCCATCAAAAACTGAATACATTGCTCATCAAGTGCCGAACTGTTCTCTACTATATTATCTGGTAATGTAATAAACTTGCAAATAGATTTTGTATTCATTAATGACGAGACTATAATTTATGGACGAACCAATTGGATTTACGATAACAGATCTTAGGTTTTGGCGAGAAATTCATTCACCCATTTGACTAAGCAGAGTCTTGGTCTTTTAGCATGATGTCAGTTCGTGATGAAAATCCTAAATCTAATTCTTGACCCTAACCATCAACTTTTAAATCATAATCTTTCTTCTTCAAACTGCTTTTTAACCCTTATTTATCCCTAGTAGGTAGGTAGACATTCTCAAGGTCATTTTACTGTCTCTCAAATTGTCATCCATAAATTATAGTCTCACCTCATGAATTTACTCTATGAGCTTGCTTGCCAGTAAAAAAGGTAACAACAACATCAATATGTGAACAACTTTAGTTAGCGGTGTTAATGTATTAATTCAAAGCTTCTGATTTATTGTGAACTTATTTTTGTATAAGCTTGATATTATAATCGTTAGTGTTGGATACTTTTGTTCACATATGTTATCTATAAGTCTGAATTCTCTGTTATATTGCTACTTAATCGTCTTATATTTCGTTGTTTAGCTTTGGTTAAATATTGTCTTAAATTACCGAATAACAAATGTTGTGTTTTTTTGGGCGTGATATGATCGCCAATCAGAATACGACTTATACAATCTTAACACTGTGCCAAACCAATGACGTGTTGACAAGATCCAGTAGACTAGAATCCTTACTAGTCCTTCGCGTCTAGCTCTGCATGTTGAGTCAAGAACAGAAATATCTTCTCCTACTATATGCATCATATATTTCGGACATACTTGGTTTATATGCAAACAACCCAGACCGCATCACACCATAAAATAGAAAATAACAATTGTACAGGATCAAGCTAAAAGGTGACCGTGATTGTAGGAGACTGGAAGTAATATATTGGGAATATCTTAAGCTACTAGTATTTGACCACAGATCCCTTAGAAATATTGCTGGCGTCTGTTGGGATCACCGGGTAAGTAATAGTGAGGTTCGACGCAGGGTACTAGGTAATGATGGTAAATCAGTTGATGAGGTTGTTAATCTTCATCGACTGAGATGGTTGGGCTACGTGTTGCGTATGCCTGAACACCGATTACCACGACGCGCAATGCTAACGGGTGTTAGAGATGGTTGGAAGAGAACTAGGGGCAGCCAAACCAAAACGTGGCATCAGTGCTTGAAGACACTAACCTCTAGTCTGAGCCATGTTGGTAGATGCAGACTACTTGGTTGGGGTCCGCGTGACTTTCGTAACCAACGGTTGGAGACTCTTGGTGACATGGCTCAGAATCGATCACAATGGCGTCGGTGTATACACTGTCTGTCTTCCCTTAAACTAAGAGATTAAAATCACTTCATATCTTTCTTTCTACTAACTTATTCTTTTTTACTGTACTATATCCTTATGTGCAATCTTTCTCCTATATATTACCACCTTTGACCAAACCACTCCTATGAATCCGGTGTTCATCTTGCTGTGCTAATGCGGTATGGCAACCTGGACCGATGCATATATGTGCCTGGTCCTACGTTGTAGCTGACTGACTGACTGAATATCTTAAGAATAGTAAATCGTATAATAATAGTCAATAGATCGAATAAAAGCTTATGATAAGAGGAATATAGATATATATAAACTAGTTACTTAACAGTTAGGCAATAAGAATATATATAATGACAGTCTATGAATAATTCCCGAAAGTTACCCATAGTTTAATCTTCTTCGGATATGACAACAACAAACCTAATCCTGTCTGGATATTATGGAATTTAAATATTTTTGATTTCAGAAGTTTGGATGCTTTCTATTCTATTGTCTTCATTTAATTATGCGGTAATAGCCTCTTCTAAAGAATTCTTGTTCATTGATCTCGTCTTAATGGTAATGCAAAATAATAAGGTGAAATAGGACATTCCGTACTTCAACTATGTCGCTTACGACAAATAGTCTACCTATTTTAATTGAAAAAGCCTGATTCTCAGGAAAGGGCTATTGACAACTTTAGGACACTGAAGATTTATTATGTAATTTTCTTGGCACTCATTTAATAGTTCAACGGCACTACTAAAATATTGTCAAAATGTTGCAAAATATTGTATTTCAGCAATAAATATGTGGGCTATATAAATCCTAAGGATTACCGGCTAGCTAATATCCAAGTGGTCGTAACTTTGAGCTGATATAAAGACGATTATCAAAGAAAACTGAATTTATAGGCAGAGATGAATGAGATCTAGAAGTGGAATCAAGGACTCGCGTTTCATCCGATTTTGGACTCGTCAGCTGGAAACGCGTGACCTGGATTCCACTGCTAATTACCATTCATTTGTAGTTATAATGCTAATGGCTTAAAGTAATATTGAGGCAAACACCACAGGATGTACATACACTAAAAGAGATAGATCAGTTGCAGTTCGGAAGTTTCGAACAACTAATGAAACCGAATTTACTTCCAAATTCACCATCTATTAAATATAACAAACACTAAGAATTCAATTGCACAAATTCTATTTAATCTAATAGGTATAACTGATTTCTATCGATAACTGCTTCAGTGTGTAGGAAGTTAAATCAACTATTCATTTTGATGATCATAAAAACATCGATATTCTTAACATAAAGTACATCATATTAATGGTAAACATAAGATAGCTTTTTGTGTCCCCCTGATTTGAATCTGATTTGGATAGATGTATGAATATACTATGTGCAGAAATCTTCCATTTAACTTCGTCTATTACCTAGGCGGTAGTAAGAAACCATACACGAGTCACATTGGAGGAATTTATTTTATGCATTAGTTTATCTAAACAGACATTCAAAATAA